TGACTCCTTTCGTGGAATGACCAACTTAACTGCACTGCGTCTCCAGTCCAATGCCATCAAAGATCTTGGTGGTGCTCTGGAGTCTCTCCAGTCGTTGACCTTTCTGGATTTGCGTGGGAACCAGCTGACTAAGATTCCGGAGCGCTTGCCACTGAATCTGAGCCAGCTGTACCTAGAGCATAACCGTATTTCCACTGTCCCTGTGGACTTCCTGCGGAACCGACCTGAGCTGCGTTTTGTGCGGCTGTCTCACAATCAGCTTACAGACAGCGGGATCCCACCCAACACCTTCAACGTGAGCACGCTAATGGAGCTGGATCTGTCCTACAACAAGCTGGAGAAGATCCCCACCATCAGCACAAATCTGATGAACCTCTACCTCCAGGCTAACCACATCAAAGGTACAGCAAAGAACCCACAACTACACAATGACTACAAAACTTCTGCATGTCTGATCTTCTGTAAATTGTTCAAACAAACTGAAAAAATGGTTCTCATGCCATGTTAAACTCAGTTTATTGGCCTAAGGCAACCACATATGAATATTGTTGCCAAAGCTGCTCGAAGATGCCAAACAGTTTGTACATTTTAGTCAATACATGCAATGCTAATTAGCCCTAAATTGGTTCCTATTTTCCTCGACAACTTAACACTAAAAAGCCTTAATGCTTAATGCATTCAAACCTAAAAGGTATCTTAAAGCTGCAGTAGGTAGGATTGAGAAGAGTGTGGTCTTAGCTTGAAAATTTAAATGAGAACAACTTCCAAGTCCCTCCACCTCCGCCGCACTGCATCCCTATCTCCAAAGCCCTTCCCCGCAGAGGAGGCGGCCATGCATATGTAGGCTAGCAATCATGGCAACTATCACACACTTATTTCAGCACTTAGATGTGCTAAAGGACAGGCAAACAGATATCAGGACCAACACCAAACCGATATGACAGCCTGGGCACATCACAAACATTTTCAGCAACTTTCAAATAAAACAACGCTAACCATTAGCCTTATCATCAGAAACAAGTTAGCTACAGTTAGTCTTACTGCAGCATCATAGTAATATGAGATATGCATTATGGAGTGTTACTGTAGCCATTACTATCATTGTGAGTTTTTAAAAAAAAATCAAAAATAAAATTAAAAAATTCAAATAAAAAAATACTAAATGGTCTTTCAGGTCTTGTCCGTCCACATCAGAAAAGCTGCTTCAATGTTTATCCTTGTTTTTGTCAGGCTCTGATTCTTTTTTTAGCTTGCTTTTATTCATCTTCTCCTGTTTATTTGTCTTTGTCATGTACGCTGTTCTTGGCCAAGGAGGGATGGTCAGTTTTTTTACTTGCTGGTTGTTGTTTATACACCACTCTGTGACTGTGTGTGGAGGGGGGTGCTGCGCACAGAGTGTGCATGAGCAGTGATTGACCCTCTGTCACACACTCCTCCTGGCTCTGATTGGTTGTTTTGATTCGGGCGTGGTGGATTCTTGCAAATAGCATTAGGAGCACTAGGTGGAGACAGAGGAGCCCAATTTTTGTCAGAGATTATCTGTCCTGTACTGCTGTCAGGACATAGTGACAGTTTTAGCAAATATGACAAAGTTATTCTTATACGGGTTACCTACTGCAGCTTTAAGGAAAAAAAAAAGTAAAACAGAAATACTTCTCTTTTTTCAAGGATAGGTTCTAGTCTCAGTTTTGGAGTCTATGGAGTATTTTACCACAACAGACGAGCTGTGTCAACTTTCAGCACATAAACAAAGCCTTGCCTGCAGCCAAAATACACTTTTTAATGGGAGTGGTATTAAATTAGCTATACCATGCAAACCATTTTTCCATATTGTTCTGTTCTAAACCCATAGATAATGTCTTAGGGCTATTTCCACTAGAGATAAGCCTTTCTTTGTACATTTTGAGAACTTTTCCATAAATATCAAGACTTAAGCCACATTTGTGCATGTTGAAACAGGGTTTGAGCAGTCTTACATAGCTAGGCTTTCCGTTCATCAGACTGTCAGTTTCACAGTATTCTGACTGCTCTATGAATTATGGCTTCAAGATTCTCAACTAACTCATGTCCAATTCATGTGCGACCATGTGAATATATTTATACATGAACATATTTTATGTTACTTGCAGCTAAAATAAAACAGTAATTGTTTTTTTTTTCTATCTTGGATTCTCCCCAGAGTTCTCTGTCAGCAGTTTCTGTAGAGTTGTGGACATGGCCAACTACTCTAACCTGCGTGTTCTGAGGCTGGAAGCCAATGAGATCAGCTCCCGTGATGTGCCCCCTGAGGCTCTACTCTGTCTGCGCATGGCCACAAACATTGACCTGTAGCCAAAGAACAAGAATCCAATATCAGGAACATCAACCAATACACAGCCATTGTGACCATAAAGGCCAGAGCACAGGAAACATCAACGTTCTAAAACAACTGCCAATGCTAGAATGTTTAGAATAACAACTGATCATCCAAATGAACCAGTGTGAATTGGGAAAAACATACCGGAAACTGTGGGAATGGAGGAACATTCAAGAGCGGGCTGCTAAATCCTGGTCTTCGAGATCTGAAGGGTTCAGATTCAACACACCTGGCTCTAATATTCAGATGGCCATAAAAACCTTCATTACCTGGATCAGGTGTTATATTAGAAATGGAGGCAAACTCTGGAGGGATCTCCAGGACCAGGATTGGGCATCACTGTTCTAAAGTCTCCCAACAATCATACAGTGGTATAGCACACCAACCAAGCGACTTAACCTTGTCCTGTCCTACAAACATTCCAAGTGATTAATTTCATGCCATCAGCATTCAAATTTAATAGTAATCACGATTTAAAAAAATGTTATGTAAATAAATGTCCAGTATAATCCTCATCCTCTCAATTTAAATACATTACACATGTACACTGTAGTTGACTATGGGAACAACACAGACAACACAGGGGTGCCTATTTACTATCTATTTGTTTAGACTGATAGCTCTACCTATGGGTTGGATGAAATCAGCAATAAAACAACATGCCCACTGGGGAGGTGGGGGGTTAGTATGGCATCATCATAGCATGCACGCATGTGCATATGACAGTAATATGTAGAGTTCAATGTGTACTTTTAGATAATATCTATATGTACTTTTAAATATCTAATGTCTTAAATGTCTTTCATGGCATGGCAAACTAGAAAATCAGGCATGGGGTTGAACGTACAAAGTGTAAGTTCAGCATGTTAATACAGCTTAAATCCAATAGATGAAAGAGTATTGGAAAAATATATAAGTATAGATGAGTCAAAGCAAAAATATTCCTCTGGGAAATTACTTGATAGTTTAAAACAGTCAAAATAAAGTATGTTTACAATTAAAGTTAATGCATGTTCCTTTCTACTGTGCTGTGCATTTCCAAGTGATGCATTGTATAAGATCTAGCTAAGTTTTTTTATTTAGTGGGAAGTGGTGGGAGGTTGAGGTAAAGCATGATATTACTGGTTACTATTTTTCTCTGCCCACTGGTGCATGGTGACAAAACTCGTTAGATGCTTTCAACCACAGATTAAGGGACAACAATAACTTAGTATTTTAAATACAACCAACTGCACTAAATATGACCTGAGACATTTTTGAACAAGGTAACAAGGTCAATTTTAAGTTCAGGTTGACTTAAACTTTACTTTAGGCAATCTATTTAGCAATTAGCTAAGTAAATTGCTTGCTGATTGCTTACAGCTACACAACTGAAATATAACAAAATTCTGGGTTATTTAGCTTATTTAGCCAAAAAGACAAAACACAAAAGAACCTAATTTTAAAACTAACAGAACAATGTAAATTACATTCAAAATGTATTAAAGCAGTAATTCAAGAACATTTTAGAAATTAAACTGATAGTGCTTCTATTTTAAAGGATTTCTTTCTATCATCATGGTGCTGTAAACTACTAATTCCCATTTCTCAGGAGGAGAAGGATGCTTGATCTCTGATTTAGCTTATTTTAATGCAGTGTACTGAGACAGCGTAAGCCTGCCTCTCCTTTCTATGTATTGTAAAGTTGGTAACTAAGATTTCTTGTTAGTTCAGCTTTCACATGGGCTGATTCTGACAGAAACTGAGTTGAGTGGATAGTTCTCCAAAAGCAAGCTAGATAAATGGGAACGATCAAAACATCTTTGTCAAGACATCCGAATACACAGTGATGACTATAAACCGCTGCAAAAAATTCTCTCAAGACTCTTATGAGGATTTTGCCTTATCATCTTGTACTGGACTTTAGCAACAGTTTATTGTCATCACTGTGTCTTGACAAAGATGTTTTTATTGTTCTAAGACAGGGATGTTTAGTCTTATCTGCAGACGGCTGGTGTTACTGCAGGTTTTCATTCCACCTGTTTAATCAGTTGGTCTTAGTCCTCAACAACTGATAAGCGGCTCCTGCTTTGTTGGAATAGAAACCCGCAGCCACACCGAGTCCTTGCAGATTAGAGCAGACCTGATCTAGAGAAACTTGAGGTGAGCACCGTCATTCTGATGCTTTATAATGTCTTTTCTAATCCTTCTTTTTCTGTTACTTTAGCTTTTATTGCAATGCTGTTTCTATATAGCTGATACTTTTTGTATTATGCGTGTTTAACTCAAAGTTGTGTAACCCAATAAAAATCAATGAATTTAGATCTTAAACCTCAGAGTGATTATTTTAAATAAAGAGATTTGGAGGGGAACAAGCCAAAAGCTTAAAGCAGTGGCCTATGCACAGACAAAAACGCTAACAGACAGGACGAGGTGCAACCTAATGTGTTAATCTTTTACAAAGAAATCTCACCTGGAAGTGAGTCTCAGCATTTGCCATGAGAAGTTATAGGAACTGTCCATGGAACAGCCGTATAGCAAATCCAACTCACACTTAACCCAATGAAAATGACAATAATGGACAAGACTGCAACATGGCTGCAGGTGAGCCCAAATGTTTTTAATGCACAACAAAGATTTTTTTTTCACATTTTTTCTTTCTTTTTTTCCCCTTTTTTCATTTTTATAAACAAAAGCAGAACAAACATAACACTGAACAGTCTTCACACTAGTCACATTTGACTAGGCAGTCTACAACCATTTTCTTTCTTCCCCCCATTTCTCATTTTCTTTCCCCCACTCTTTCGGCTCTTAGGCAAAACCCAACATTCAAGCCTGCAATTAAAAACAAAATGGGGGGCAAAAAATTAATAACATCACAGACACAGACATTCTGCAAACTAACTATATGAAATGCCTGCACTTTTTATACTGTTAGCTGATGGCACCAAATGTTACTTAGTTACAGTGCAAAATTAAATTAAAAAGTCAGAAACCACACGTTCATGAAGCAATATGTAAAAACACCCCAGCATATTTTACTGTGCACAGAAACACTTCTATTTACACTTCTACATACTATTTTAGCAGATCAAGCCTACAAGTTACATGAATGTCAACAGTTGCTTTTAAAATGATTGTAGCCAATGGAAAACACATGGATAAAGAAGAGCTGGAGATGCAGAACATACTGCAGTATAAGGCTATGTTCACACTGCAGGTAAAAGGAAACCTGTCAAACCTGCGGTCTGAACGTAGCAGTAACACAAAAGCACAGGACCTGCGCTTAAAAAGTAGGAATGAGCAGTTTTAAAACTGGCATCAGCTCACAAGCACTTGTCTGGTGTTTTACCTGCCTGAAGGCATCTTCACTTCTTAGAGGACACTTCCTTGGCTTGATGAGCTTGAAGCACAGCTACTGCCTCCTCAACCTAAAGCAAACATGTTTAAAAAGTAATTACTTATGTGTTTTATATACAAACAAAGCTACAGATTGCAGTCCAAAGTTATTTTATGCCTTACAACTACCCTGGAAAGGAACTGGCAGTATACTTGTGAGTATGTGTACCTTGGCATTCAGGGACTCTGGAGACTCAAGCATGTGCAGCAATTCAGAGTTATCAATTTCCAGCAGCATGCCAGTGATTTTTCCAGCAAGATTAGGATGAAGGGCTTGTATCAGCGGATACAGACGCTCACCTGAGGGATCATACAAAATGAATGAATTCCCTGGGAGGCAAGTTTTATTTTGTGTGTGTGTGTGTGTGTGTGTGTGTGTGTGTGTGTGTGTGTGTATGTATATGTATGTGAGTGAATGAAACACACCCAGTAGTTGTTTCTGCTCCAAAAGAGGTGCAGCTGCCAACATTGATGGAGTGAGGGGCTCCTGACCTTTTACATGAACAGCAGGCTCCATGACTGGAGGGGGCATGACCTACGAAACAAAGCTTATTTCCTTAGAATACAGCAAAGCTGATAGCCTGAAAATAAACAAATTAACCTCTAACAGAGTCCAATCCAGGTGTTAAGTACTTGCCAAAAAAAAACCCATCTGTTTCACAGAAATGTCTAAATCCTGCAGTTTCTCCTTTGACCACTCAGCCCACATAGAAAAATACATATTACAAAAAGTTACAGGACACACTGCAGGTCATCTTTCCTGCATTACGTAGCTACAGGTGCTTCGGTGGGCATGTTTGCTGGTCCTGCTAACCACTCCATACAAATCAAACACAGGTACTCTGCATATATTTGCACACATCTGAGTGCATTACCTGTGTAACAGGAGGCGGTACATTAATAACCTGCTGCATATTTCGGACTCCACTTGAGTACTTGTACTGATTGATTCCTCTCATCATTGCTCCTCCCACAGTTCGACCACCTGCTGTCTGTGTCCCAACATGAGCTGGGCAGAGAGACAGAATACATACTTCAACTGGTCTATTAAACATCTCTGTTTACACATGCTCTATGACAAAGGGAATAATACTGTCTACTGAAACAGCAACTAGTGGAAGTTGCAGAAGGATGGCAGTCACAGAAAAAGAGAAAAGAACTGTACTGTCATATCAGGATGCCAAATCCACAAATATTTCTTTTACAAATTGAATGGGTAACTTTGGATAGATTACGAACACTTTAACTAGACTTGACAAGTGAAAGCATGAGTTCTGCTCTCAACTTAAGGTACTAGCCAAAAACTTGTCTGCCTTGGTTTCATTACTGAATACTGACCAATCAACTCATTAAAGCCATACTTCATGCAGCTGAACCAGTCAAAGCATTCAAGAACAGCAGTGAGAATTTGCCAGAAACAAGCTGAGAGCTGGGCTGTCTGAAACTTATAGCCAAAGTTTATTTAAAACCTTAATCAAAAAACCAAAAAATCTGTAAATAAATAAATGACAAATTTAAAAACAACAACAACAACAACAACACAAAAAAACACCTCCTATTCATCCATAACCTCAGTTTCTTACCCATTCTCTGGGTGTGGACAATGCCTGGTGCCTGGGTGGAGGCCTGGCGCACAGTGCTGATGGGGGTGGATGCCCTGCGTGGCATCGCTGACCTCATCATATGAGCAGAGTATGGCGCTATCGCAGCCAATTAAAGAACAAATTAAGACCAGACACACATTACAGTTATTCATTTTATCACAGAATCAGGTGTTTACTGTGAGACTTGTTAGCGTTAGACAACATGGCAATATGTCAAGATGAATCACTGAGGTTTTCAGATTTAATTTTCTTTAAGTTGGCAACACACAAGCAAAACAGTGTCATGCTAAAAACGCTAACAGAAACAATACACTAAGAACAAAGTTGTTCTTTAATCTGCGATGCTGCTTAATCACTAATGTCAGCAACACATTCAGAAATTCTATCAATTTTTTCATTAAAACCTGACCCGTTGGGATTTGTAGATTTACAACACCCCACAGTAGTTACGACATGTCCAAATTGACAATAATCGAATGCAACAGCTTGTTTTAGAAAAAGTTTTCTGTGTGCAATATTAAAAGAAGCACTGCCTTTATTGTAGGACACCCTGCGATCCTGAGCAAGCATGTACTGCCTTTCAGAAAGGATTTTAGATCATTTAGCACTTATTTTAAATTTCAGCATTAGATTAACAAAAAAAAGGCAGAACAATGAATTTCAAAATGTTTGCACAAAATGGTCATCTTTGACACAGAAATGAACATTTGTGGCTTTCTTAGATCATGTTCCTTATGTGACAACAGCACTGAAAAACCACATTGATAGAAAAGTAGATTTAAAAAGCATAAATGACTGCTACGTCTGCTTAGTATTAACAGATTAATGTAATGTGCAGTTCACTGCTCTTTGAAGTATCAATGATACACACAAAACCCAAACGAAGTAGACTGTGATGCAATTTTTCACGATAACATATCGTCATACCCCTACCCCACATCCATCCTCCTACCCTGTGGTCTGGGAGCTTGTGCTGTAAAGCGTGGTGCTGGCCGTAGGTTTGGTACAGCGCTAAAGAAGGTACGTCCCTGAGGCTATTAACACAAAAACAGAAAAGGCTATGTGAATGCATAAAGAAAAAAAGAAAGTAAATAAATAAATACAAAAATTAATAATAAAAAAAAAATAAAATACAAAAACAAAAACGCCCGCCCACCTGTGGCATAGAAGGCATGTAGTAGCCGGAGCTCTGCTGATAAGCAGGCATTGCAGGGCTAGGGATGGCTCTCACACTGGCCAGTCTCTGCATGTACTGGTTGGTGAGGATGGCCTTGCGCTCCTCCTTCCTTTGGGCCAGCGCAACATAGAGAGGCTTAGTACTGACGATGCGGCCGTTCATCTCAGTCACTGCTTTAGTAGCTTCCTCAGGAGAGGAGAAGCACACAAAGCCAAAGCCCTTACTGCGGCCTCCTTCGGTCATCACCTGGCTCGGGAAAAAAAAAAAAAAGAAGAAGAAGAAATATATACATCGATACAACAACAACAACAACAACAACAACAACAAAATTTTTTATGAAAGCCTAAAAAAAAACAAAAAAAAACATTTGGACATCCAAAACAAAAGTCTAAAAAGAGCTAAATTTACTTCAAATTTACATTACCTTGGCACTGGTGATAGTACCATATGGTGAAAACTCTTTCCTCAGTTTGTCATCATCAACACCATCATCCAGATTCTTCACATATAAATTAACCCCCTGAAAACACATCAGCAAAACCACACACACACACACGTATGTTGAAAAGGTATATGATTCCGCATGACATTGATTGGCATCTTCAGAAATTCTCATGTAAGCATAACAACAATAATAATAATAATAATAATAATAATAATAATAAACATTTAATTTACACAGCATCTTTCTCAAGCTCAACGAAATGTGTATTTACCTGGTAGCGATTTAATCGTTCCTGCTTGATCTGCTCAAACTTGCGTTTGAGTTCTCCCTGCCGTTCTAGTCTCTTCTGAGCCCTACCCACATACAGAATCTTCCCATTAAGTTCCTTCCCATTCATCTCAGCTACTGCCTGAAACCGGGACAGGCAGTATGAGATTTTATATTTTGGGGTGTGCATCCATTTTTATGTACAAAAAGAACAACACTGACACTAATCTTACTTTCTGTGCGTCATTGTGGTTTTCAAAGTTCACAAAGCCAAAGCCACGAGAACGTCCTTTTTCATCCGTCATCACACGAACACTTAAGGTCTTCCCTGCAAAGCTCATTTTCAGTTTAAGCTCAATTTTGGATGATGGACTAACCACAATGACAGTTTATAACTGTGTGGAGATTTCAGTCAGATCATCTGACGAAGCTAAGCTTTTCTTACCGTATTCAGAGAAGACGCTCCGCAGTTTCTCACTGTCAAAGTCCTCTCCAAAATTCTTAATGTAAACATTGGTAAATTCCATGGCCTTGGCTCCAAACTCCGCCTCCCGCTCTTTACGAGATTTAAAATGTCCCACAAAGCTGTTCATTCAGATCCAAAAACACAAAAGAAACAAGAATGAAAAACTCACATGGATAAACGCTACAACTCAAGCAATGAAACACATCAAACTGATGAAGCATACTGCACTTTCAAGTCACCTATACAGCCTACATTACATCAGAATCAAGGGCCAATTTAATGTCTTCTGCAAGCCCTAACATTCACTCCACATGCCGTCGGAGTGCTCATTCTGGTTCAGCTGAAATCCTGCAGCAGACTGCTCCTCACATGCACTGACCTAAATGGTGACAGCTGACTTTTTTCCCCCAGGGGACAGACTGGGCCTGGACTCCTTGCCAGCTCTTTACCTGCCTTTATTCTGAGTAAAGAAAGGTCAAAAGATACCTAAGAGGTAACATTTTGCCATTACTTTTATTAGCAAAACAAAACACTTCCTTTCAATATCTGATGCGGATAATACCTGGAGCATAGTACTCTTATGAACACTTAACACCTACTAAACCTACTTGATAATGGCTAGATAACAAACACATCACTACAAACACAAGGCTGTATCAAGCTAAGCTGGGCTTAGGGTGGACTTTACTAAAGAGAAAGACTGTCCTTAACCTGTGGGACAAGCAGACACAGTAGAGTACACGGCTTGTGTTCTGCTATAAGCAAAAGCTGAAGAATAAACACATACACTTTGCGATCATTCAGGAGCATGCCGTTCATGGTTTCAATGGCTCGGTTAGCTGCCTCTTGTGTCTCAAAGTGCACAAACCCATAACCTTTCGAGCCATGCTCATCACAAACTACCTGTAAAATAGAACGTTTTACTGCAAAATCACAGTGTCCAAATACATATTAACAATATGCCAGATAAATACAAGAAAAAGCCACAAAACAGTTTTACAGATATCTGACCTAATCTTACCTTACATGACAGAATGTTTCCAAAAGCAGAGAAAGTGTCATAAAGTGCCTTGTTGTCGATGGACTCGTCCATGTTCTTGATGAAAACATTCCCTACTCCAGACTTCCTTAGACAAGGGTCTCGCTGTGACCACATGATCCTGATTGGACGACCCTTTATGACTTCATAGTTCATTGTATCAAGGGCACATTCAGCTGTAGCATAAGAAAAGTAGCATTTGAAAGATGTGAAGCAGGACTTTACACCAATAGCATGAATAATTGCTGGATATGGCCTAACACAGGACCCTGGATGAAGATGCTTACACTACCAAAACTGCAAAAGTCCTCAAAAAAAGTGATGAAAGGAAATACCTCAATTAGGAGCAGTCTTAGTGAGGTGGTGCAAGAGCTCACCGTCTGCAGGCTGCTGGAAGTTAATGTAAGCATAGCCGAGGGACCTGCGTGTGATGATGTCTCGGCATACACGAATGGACATGATGGGTCCAGCAGGTGAGAACTTTTGATAAAGCATGGCCTCCGTGACGTCAGGGTGCAGATCACCCACATAGAGTGAAGCCAAAGGATATGCTGGACCACTGCTGTTCATTCTTCAAGCTGTGCAATAAACTTAAAGGGCTAGTTATCTTTCCCTTACTGAGGGAAAAACTGAAAGCTTATTTTCATGGTAAATGGAACTCAACCAGAACAGGTTCCAATGGGTTCACCTTCAACTATTTAAACATATAGTTTTATAACGCAGCAAACAATTACTGTAGTGCAATGGCCCATAAAGCCACCATTTAAAATGACTGATAATTGGTGCATGAAATCAAATATAATTAACTATTATTTCCTCACATAATGTGCAATTATTGTTGTAATGTGTGCGACCAGACCATTACCATTATCCTAGCAAGCACATTTGAAACAAAACTGGTGGGAATTAATTAGTGCTATGTTTGCCACATTGGTAAAACAACATTTCAATTCTTTAGTTGTTATAGAATTAGAACCAACATTCTCTAAAAAAAAAAAAGATGGTTCTTAAAGCGTTCTTTAGTAAAGAACGTACAATTTCTATTCAGACCCATGAGTTCTATATTGTTACCAGCTTGACATCACAATAGAAGAACCCGTTTTGGTGCTACATAGAACCACTTTCAAAAATGTTCTATACAGAACAATATACAAGACATTCCCAACCAATCTGAAGAACGATTCCACCATGCAAAGGACCATTTAAGCATGAAATGGCTTTATATAAAACAGAACCATTCCCTTTACTAAAGGACCCTTGTAAAACAATTTTTTAAAGAGTGTATTTCTGAGACTTTTTCCTCTCAAAATGTTTAGTCAGATGCTCTACCATGAGAGTTTTAGACGTGAACCTAAAAGTGATACGTGTACTACAGTTACATAACAGTGTACAACAGTTACATAACAGACGTGTCCTTATGAGTTTTAAAAGTAAGAATTGTTCAATTAATAAACCTTTATTAACTGAGCATCTCGCTGCAGTGTAGCTGTACCACACATATAAACATTATCATATGGTTCAAGGTCTCAAACACTCGCAGTTTAGAACCGTTTCTTCTAAGTTACTTTTTGTGGTCAAATTCTTAGCACAGTAAGATATTTTAGCATTACTCGAGCATGTAAGTACAAATGGAAATGTCTCAAACACAACACATCAACTGAAACATGCAACTTATAATAAGCAAACCTCTCCGAAAACGTAATCAGAGAAGTCAGCTGGCGGACACATCAATCACCACAGGGACCTCTGATATAAACAGCTAGCCTAGCTAGGTTAGCTAGCTAGCTACCAATCTGACGGACACTGAAACTATGTCGAAATGAAGTCTTGCTACCCGGCACTGATTTATAAGACGCATATGCTGAAACTTTATAAAGACTCCCTAAAATAAATGTGAACAGAAACACACAGTAAGGAGCAAACAGCCGTTGCCATTGCTTTGTCAAGTGAATGTTAAATTAACGATAGCTAGCGAGCTAACGATAACAGTTAACCCGTTAACGTCACCGAACGCAGCAGCCAGTCCGTACTTCGATGAAACTTGTAAAGAACCGTTAATTTACTTTAAACCAAAGTTAGCCAACTTGATAATGTCTTTAATTTGAGTTCTAATCATCTTACCTTTGCACCTAAAATAAATGATGAGAGTAATGAATGTTTCGTCTCTTCAGCGCGCGGCCGCCGCGGCTCTGCAGTAAATGTTTTAGTTTGATTACGGCCTTGAAACACCTGTCATATCAATGCGCGCCTGCGTTAAGACCAATTAAAACGGGTGTGAACCTTCCCGAAAATGTAAACGTTGCTCCGCAAGGGTAAATAGTCCTGTTAAAGTGCACGAAGGAGCGAATACCAGCAGCTGATATTAGGAAATATATTCATTATTTTGAATACGATTCAAGGTCCTAAACTTTTTACTTGCCTATTGTACCTGTAAAGAGTACTCTATCTAGTAATATTACTGTGTGAATGCATTGTAGTATCATCATTAGACCACTAGAGGGTGGTATAGAGGCTGGAGCGTTCAGTATGCAGGTTACAAAACGGAGGATGGGGTGTTTTTGAAGTGAAGCTGCAGATATTAAGCAGCAAGATTTGTGAAGCGCATAGAGTGAAATCAGACTAAGTTTCAGTACTAATGTAACTATATGGAAATTTGAATATGGCCAAATATTCACATCTGACATAAAAGGTCAGGACAATATTTTAAAATATACGAACATGTGTAATTCAGTTATTAAAATGTACAGTCATTCAGAGTATTTTGATGTGAAATGGTTAATTATAGAGAAACTTAACCGACTCAGATTTCTTTACAGTGGTGGTGATAGGAACCTGGGGACGAGATGTCTACAACACAAATATAGCCATTTTATTTACTGTCCAAATTGACCAGTGAACCTACACGTGACTTCTGAGTCTATAACTGTAATGCTGATATAGTGGAAAATAAAAAATGTTTCCTTTGGGGCCTATTTTGCTTTACAACACCCTGCATGGAAATCTACCAAATTATTTTATTAAACACATTTTGGGTTAAAGACTGAGAAAATGATCATAAACAATGTGTCAGACATCATCAGGCAATGTATTCAGAACCATTTTGTGTAATAATTACGTAGTTAGTAATAACATGTAGCTTTAAGAGGCATTAAACACTTCAGAAGTCTGGTTACTTTTACTACCACTGTGAACAATTTAGACTCAGCAAGTTCGAATGGTCTCCACTCTGAATGACTTAAATTCACATCTCAAGAATTATGAAATTTTTAAAGAAACATCTTTGCCCAACTTGTAAATGTGTTATAAAACTAAAACTGTGCACTTGTTGGAGATGCTTTTAACCCACCTTACTTTCACACAATTTAAAAAGTACTTCATTTAATAATCTATAGACTAATCCATTACGTGGCAGAAAATGCATCTTTTTCGGTGTAATACTGTTTGACTAGCTAATGTTGGGAATGCTTTTTATAAAAAAATAATTTGTAGCCACATTAATTACTGGCCACGAGATATCAAATTCTTATATCATGGTCTCTACAGACTAAACTCATACATAAGAACTACTTGATGTGAACACATCTCACTGTTTTCCTTACAGCAGTGTGTGTAGAATGAAACATCTTAAATAAATACACATTTTCCACTGAAATTTAATTTTTCAGACATTTACTTTATGAAATGGCCACCTGACCATGTGTCCGAACAGGGCTTTCAGTGAATAACCCTAGCACCGACACCAGGAATCCAAGCTGAGAGGCATAGCATCATAGGTCCAAAAACAAGATACAAAACTCAAGAATTACAGTGTTTGGTGAAAATAAACTGCCAGTTTAATAACCATACAATAAAACCTGCAAATACCATGACGAATTACACTAAAAAATGTTCGTAACAAAAACAAGAAAAAAAGGATGAAAATGCACAACCAGCTAAGGTGGAAATAAATGGGAATCATTAGGAAGGACTTTTAGAGTTCATAACCCCGACTCCAAAACACACACTCACTCACTCACTCTGGAACAAGCACACTCAATCTCTCCTTCATACACTCGCTCAGTCAGTCTCTCGCTCTCTTTCTCATTCACTCTCTCTCACACACACGACAAATAGGGACTCGCTATTCAGTACAACCATGTTAAATTCACAAACAAAATGACTGGACCTGCTGACATCGGCATGTCACCCTGTGAGCCCCCCCATCCCCGCCGCCGGTGCCTGTGTGAGGGGCTTCAGTGTGTGTCTTGCTTCAGGTGCGTCTCGTGATGATCGTACAGAAGGTAAGGGGACAGGGGTTGGGGGCTAAATGGAGGAGGGATGGGGAATGTAAAGTAGGGTGGGGTGGGGGGGTTGGTGGAAGCCGTCTGTGTAATTATTTATTTTTTAATTAAGATGAGTGTATGTGTGCGTGTGTTTGGAGATCAGAGCAGCTCCTCTAGTTCTCTCCCTCGCCCGCATCTGCCTCGTCGCCCTGGTTTTCCGACGTCCACAGCTGCAGAAACGACACAAAAACCACCGAAATGTTATATGATGTTAACCAATTTGGTACTGAATCGCTAGAGTAATCATCCTGTTATAGAATTTAAGAATCACTTACGGTGAGATTGTCCCTTAGTAGTTGCATGATCAAGGTGCTGTCTTTGTAGGAATCCTCATTTAAGGTGTCAAGCTCAGCAATGGCTTCATCAAAGGCCTAATAAAACATTTTTTTTCAATTCTTTACTAAATTATTCACTTTGAATATGAATATACAGAACACAAGATATCTTGTGTACCGGTCATGTTTGAATATTTTGAAACTCCAGCTGCCTTTTATATGGTGTAAACATAGACTTACTTGGGATACAATCGTTATTTTAACATGTGTTATAGCTAAGAACATGTTTTCCTTTCCGCTATTAAATTACCAGGTTTTGGTCAGACAGCAACAATATGCAATACATAATGGGGATAGGCTTCATTTGCCTAAAAAGTCATCAAGATAGAGACTAGATTTATATTAAGTGTATCAACTCTGCTGGTAATGTTTTCTAACCGTCTTGGCAAGGTTGCAGGCCTTCTCGGGCGAGTTGAGGATCTCATAGTAGAAGACAGAGAAGTTAAGAGCCAGACCAAGCCGTATGGGGTGTGTGGGCTGCATTTCTTTCTTGCTGATCTCAAATGCATCCTGGTAGGCTTTCTGAGAGTTGTCAACTGTGGCTGCATGAAGAGAGAGCAAGAGACTCATTAAATAGTAATGACAGTTTTCATTCTTTTACAATTCCAGAATTCTGAAGGCATCCACACAGTGTTTGGGCAATGAGAATTTATGAGCAAGTGCACTAGGGCCAAGTCCAGACAAATCCCAGAAAACAAATGATATCAACTTACAGGTCTTAGACTCTCCAGATGCAACCTCAGACAGGTATCTATAATAATCGCCTTTCATTTTCAGATAGAACACCTTGCTCTCAGCTTGAGAGGCATTGGGAATGAGAAACTTCTCCAGCAGACCCTATAAAGGCAAAGATATGCAGGATCCTTATTAAATAACTTATGTGATTAAAAATTAGAAAGAATTTTTAAGGAAATCCTTTATATGTTTTAATTTTCCAGAAATAGGCAAGTAAATTCAGCTTGTACGAGACATTCCAAAAAGCATTTAAAATGTCATCCAAATTTGTCAAAAGAACATTCCTTATGTCATTTAAGTTTACATCAATTAATAAACAGTTAAATGACCAAGGCTGCAGTGTGATAAGTGTTCTGGGGCTGGCAGTGTTACCAGAACATCGTTGCAGATGTCCTGCAGCTCGCCTTCGATCTTCTCGCGGTACTCGCGTGCCATCTGCTGCTTCTTCTCATTGCCCTCAGTCTTCTGCTCGATGCTGGAGATGACACGCCAAGAGGAGCGTCGGGCACCCACCACGTTCTTGTAGGCTACAGAGAGCAAGTTGCGCTCTTCATTGGACAGCTCTACGCCCCGCTCAGTCACCGCCTTCATGGCAGTGGCCATATCGTCATAGCGCTCTGCCTGTTCGGCCAGCTTGGCTTTCTGTACCAAGTCACTCTTGTCCATTTTCAGACTGAAAAGACAGATCGGAAGAGAATCTGAGTCAAACTGACATGAGAAAAAAGCAATAGTCATAAGCAAGGGGGCTGTAACCATTATGTTTTCTGGTTTTCATAGGTTTACTGGTGAAAGTAGATAAGTTAGATATTTTATGCATATTTTGATACTTTTTTTGAGGACATTAAAATGGCAGTTGTTGGGGTATAGGCTTCGAAGATTCGCCTTCAGCAGAGTTTGATGGTGATGCCTTCCTTTGCCGACCACATTCAGTGTGAGTGTCAATTTCTCACTACTGTTGACGTGACAGCTAGGAAAAAACGTGACCACAAAACACCAAGCCAAGGGGCAAAGGACCTAGTGTCTCCCCCGTCTTCACACTAGAAACCTCTGCACGTCCTGTCAGGGAAACATGAGGACCAGAAGGCGACCTACACGCAAAGCCACCGGACACTTAACGAGTAAAACGATGCTACGAGCTTCCACATGTAGCAAAGTCCTCTCTGTCCTCCAGGCCATCAGTACGATGTCAAAGCAGATTTGCGTGGCGAATCGAGGACACTCCCGTTCGGCTATTTCGCCGCGGACGCTCCTTCCTAAAGCGGTTACAACTATAAAATGTACTAATGAGGCCATGACCCATTTTAACGCCACTGCACGGTTGATCACTCGGGATCAGCCGTGCTGCATGGCCGTGGTTATCCATTTTGTTCATATTTTCGAGATTAAACGCGAACAGGACGGACCACCCTGCGCCTCTCAGGACACGAGCCGCCAGTGTCACGGACAGCTACAGATATCTTAAGTTAATGTTAACAAAAACGATTTAATATCACCCTGTTGTTGTTCTGCGTATAAATAAGACATAAAATGATTTACTTGCATCGCGGCGGGTAATCCCGGAGGCCTCGGAGGTCTCAATACAAATCGATGCACTGATGTTAGATAAGTTAGCTTTGTGGCTACAATGACGTTAGCCAACCTAGCTAATCTGTTCAGCTGGCTAGCGGACCGGATACATAAAAAATCTGATTATTAGGAGAAATTAGAGTTTTTAGTTTGCATTTTAGCATCTTCGGTAAGTGCACCGTTGCGCTGCGTTTACTCATTTCTAAAAATGGCTTTGTCCTGCGAAGATATTTTTCCACTGCGGCGCTTTCTTTCGGTGAGAGGGACGGAGGCCTCGCACTGAACGAGGAGGGGCCGGTGAAGAACCCAGCCAGTCATAACGCACTGATTTTCAGTTGTCATTTATACTACATGTATTTGGTACTTGAAATGCCCTACCAAACATGTGTTCTACCTTGTCGCGCATAATTAGCGCTTGCAAACGCAACTGCACTGGCTTTTTGAAGCCAGTTAGCTCGCTGCTAGTCGCTGAGGTGTAGCGCTTTTCGCTGTTGCTAATGCTAATGCTAACGACCGTGACTGGTATCTTATTCAGGGTCAGAGACTCGCACACATAATCAGGAAAATATCTGTTTAAGGCACACGGTTGGTGTTATTATGTGTTAGGAGAGCAAACTCACGTTTAAATGGCGTTTAGTCCTGCCTTTATCTTTGAAAGATACAATCGGAGTGTCCGTCCTCCTTCTCGCTCTTCAGTCGCTCTGGGCAGTACCACTTCCGCTGAAGTTGACACATCCGTTTTCCTATAAACCTCGCCAGAACGAACCCAACGACTAGATTTACATATGTGTATTTACGACAAACGATAAAATGAGTAGGAAATTGACTGTTTTGTCTTATTTGAGAAACTTTAATGTCTAGTGGGTGTTTCCAGGTACGAACTGTGCTCCAATGCGGGTTTCAGGGACAAACTGTACCACAGTGAAAAAGAGGCATATTATAACTAGGACAGTTTATTGCCTTGGAAGGGCACAGAGATGTCAATCCTGGGCTATTTTTTCCCCCTAAAACAAAGAATCTACACCTTAGAAAGCTTTGCAAAAGTATTTATTAGATATACAGCAACATATATTTACACAAAAATGTGTATAACTCTTTGACAATGTACTGAGATTAATGTGCTTCCTAGGCCCTCAGTTCCTGAACACAGCCATTAATATGATGCTCCCTAAGTGTTTTAACTTTTTTATTCTATGCCTGTAAATAAAATCTGAATGCCTTTTCAGTCACGAAAACAATTCCCTTTTAAGAAAAGCATAATGTCCATTGTGGCAAATAAATGAATGAGAGACTGGATGCAGAACTCTGTGGAGACTCTGGTTAGAGCTGATCAAGGCTAGGGTGAATGGTTCATTTGGGTGGCCTGTAAGCGATCTTTCTGCTCTTGAGTACAGACCACCTGTGCCTCTTCAGATAGTACACTAACGGGATGAGGATCGCTGAGCCCATAAACAGCTGTAAGCAAACAAGAGTGAAAAGAGGAGAGAAATACAAGTTAAATGCCAACCCAGTTCAACAAAAGTCATGGACCGAGACTCATTTGTTTCTCTAAACATGAATGTACTCTACAGAGCAATCTTTAACCCCATGCCGAAACATCACAAGAAAGAAGTCAGGAGAACAAGAGATTAGTACCTTAAGGCCCATGCGTTTCCTCTGGTCATGTTCTGGCTCGGCTGCCCAGCGCAGGAAAGTACACACATCTTTAGCCACCTGGCTCATAGTTGCTGGTGTGCCTGCAACAAGAAAAAAAAGCACATTTAATTTTATCAAATACACTTTCACCTATTAAAAAAAACAGAATCTCTCCACTGGAGTCAGTTTACCACATGAGGTAACAATTAACACATCGGTAGCAAGGCTCACTACCTTAAAGCTGAAGAATGGCACTTGACATTAGTGATATAGGTAGTTTGAAGTCAAGCTACTAGAATGTTATGAAATCTGCAGCTTCTCTCCACAATACATTTAAGAAATATATGGCTTTATGCTAGCATGGGGGAAACAGTGCTGAATCTTGTGAGCTTTTACTTTGTTTTATTCTTCTGGAGCCTTGACCTGTTTTTCTGATCAGCTCCTTCTAAGCTTAATGCAAGTAATGACAACAGAAAGCTTAAAATTAAATCAAAAATCTCATTCAAAGTATCAATACTAATAGTGGAAAATAAACAAGGGATCTGTTTCCTGGACAGCCATTTGGTCTACTTCTGGACTACATTTTCTTTTCAGTGGAGAATCTCTGTAGTCCAGAACCAGGCTATGACTGTCTGGGAATAGTAACAATGCTGAAAGGTAACAGTCACTTTCAGTAACTGTTTTGCTAACGATCAAAGTTCATTGAATCGCCCATGGTGTTGTCCATCAAACCTGCCTATAAAAAACTCACCGTCATCATACTCTAGGACCTCGTTGTAGATGGGTGGGGCCATGGCAATGGCCTGGCCAGGGAAATAGGGGTTGTAGTAGAGCCCCTCTCTCACAGACACGCCAGCAGGGGGTTCACAATAGCCTGTCAGCAGCGAAAACACATAGTCCTCTCCACCATGCCTAAAGTATATACACATGCAAACACAACATATAGTTATGGTCCTACCATGAATATCATTTAATATACTGTGAGGCATTAGTGTAATACACACACACACACACACACACACACATCATGTAAACTGCTTATCCTTCTGGGTCGCGTGGTGGCGGGGTTGGGGGCTGGAGCCTATCCCAGCTGTCATTGGGCGGAAGGCAGGAAACACCCTGGACAGGTTTTAGTTATGTATTTTAGTTGCATATATCTTAAGAAATCAGTGATGGAGCATTACTTGCTAGCCAACAGATTATTGTGGAAATCCCCCTCTGTTGTAATTAATTCTGAATGCAAATATGTTCTAATTATAACCAAATATGCAAATTAATGCTCTCTGAAAATTCACTGCATTAACATCCATCATGAGTAAGCAATTTCTCTGAATAGGTATTTTGACTTTGTTTTGACTGCTAAATGCTTAGCTAGCTAGCTAGCCAGTACTGTTTGGTACAGGTGTCTCTGTTTGAAGGACTAACTGTGGTCAAGAAGGTTAGGTGAAACTGCTGACAAGAGATAGAAGCCATTGCAGCCAAGTAGGTGCTGCTGTATTTAATTGCAAAGTAAATCGTTTCGGAGCTCAAGGAATCTGCTGTGGAAAAAAGATGGCTGGTGCTTTTTGAGACAAAACTGCAAGACTGCAACTGATTTACATTTAATGTCAGAAGCTGGTGTGTTATGCTAGTCATTTACACATGTGTATAAACATATAACAATAAAGTTTGACTAAAGCTGCACAATACAAACGAAGTATTTTACTGACACACATTGTGACTGCAAGATGCCTTGGAATATATATAAAAAAAACACAGTGGTCATTCCTTAATTTAAAGCAATAAACGCCAGTCTGTAATATAGGGGCCAAAATCAGAACACAATTATGTTTGTTGGATGATTTGACTGTGTTGATTAATCAAAACAGCCTCAGAAACGTATCAGGAATATCTGATGTTCCTCAGGAAAGGGCTTAAAGGGCTTATTTGCATACTGCGAAGGCCAATGTCAATGATCACCTAACTATATATTGTGTAGCTCTACTTGTGGTTGTAATCAGATCTGATTCAAAGTGTTACCTGGCATTAACGATGTAGCTGAGATCAGGGGGAAGAGCACCATTATTAGCAGCCCGTGCTGCCTCTGGATTGGAGTACGGCTTCGGGAAGTAATCAGATGGTTTCCCTGGACGAGTGAACATTTCTCCTGACTCATCTGGACCATCTACTACCTCAATCTGAGATTGAGAGAGAGAGGCATTATGATCATCATGAACAGCGTTTGTACCATAGGGTGCACCTGATCCTGTAACACAACCTCACTCTGCTCGGCCATTATAAAAGCATGCAGAGCAATCACTGGAACTAATGACTCCCATGAGATGGTGGACAATACCATTATGGATCTATTTGGCTTTCTCCAAACATAAACCTGCCTGGAACAAGATGACTCATCAGAACATATTTCTTTATTCCATCGCTAAGGGGTCCAAGGTTTTGTCCTTATGTGTGTTTAGGCTTTGTGTGTTAGCTTAGGGTACAAGCATTTTCCAAGCGGCTGCACCAGTCTTGAATTTCATCTCTGTGAAGCTCACAACATCCATTTTTGGGTCACGGAAGTGCTGACTCAATTCTCTTGTCACTGTGGATGCTATAGTTTTGTAGTACAGTTATCAGCAACCATCAGAAAAAAAGATCTGGTGGACCAACTGAGTCAGATATAAAACTGAGACATACAACAGATATATAATATATTCAATACAAGAACATTAAGGTATGTAAAAATTCAGTATGTACAAGTGTAAAGCAGAGTTGTAATTACAATTCTGCAGTTTTTGTTCACCTATTAGTTGCTTTATGCTGACCTGAAAAATCACATATTAAATTGCATGACTCATTTGTAGCTTCCTTTGTATTGTGATTCAGAGGGTAATCCAAAGTTGAAGTTTCTCTTCATGTTATTTTGTCCACTTCAATATAAACAACTAAGCCTCACCTCCTCAGCGAGGGTCTTGACCTCTTCCTCTGTGTGCGATACTCCCACCAAGTTACGGAAGGCCAAATATTCCATACTGTGGCAGGCTGCACACACCTGTTTGTACACCTGATAGCCACGTCGAATACTGTAGAACATAGAAACAAATCCATTCAGTGTCTCAAATGCCCTTCAACACTACTTCAACATCATTATAATATCATTAGCAATCAATGTCATAATAACGAATACAAAAAAACTTTCACAACAGGCATTAGAAGGAGTTAGTGCACCTGGCATGGTCCAGAGCAGACAGCAAGCCATTGTGGCTCCAGGGATAAGACGGTGGGTGCAGCTCCAGGTCTGATGCTTTCACTGACTGATGGAGGATCAGGGCTAGTCCAGCTCCTCCTGCCGTCAACACACCAAGAGTGGAGATCGCCACCTTCCTCCCTTTGGACAGACTGGCGAAGGACATGTTCACCTAGTATACAGAGGTAAACAGAGGAAACATGTTCACCAAGTATAGAGAGGTAAACAGCTCACAAGGTACACCTGATATATATTTTAAATAAAAATACAATGTGTTTTCCTTTAAAGATATTAAGTATTAAAGTAATCAAACATAGTATAACGTTCTAAAATACATTAAAAATGACCCACCTTCATATAAATAAAGATCATTTTTATTTATTGATTGATTTTGTATTTTTAGTCATCTACAAACATTTCAACTGAACTACCCAGGACAAAGTAGTGGCATCTCTGGGGAGTATTTCACAGGGCAGTTAGCCAGATAACTCAGTTGTGGATTGTCCAGTAGTAATGTCCCTCAGCTCTTTTCCCAATGTACAGACTTGACTTTAGTTATCTGGCTAAACTGAGAGATCCTGAATTTCTGTTAGTCGGATAGCGTAAGCCCAAAGATGTCTGAGGAGTGTCTCTAAACTCTTTTCTACTATTGCACAAGCTTGACTTTGGGCTTAAGTTATCGGGCTAAACTGAGAAATCCTGCTATGGTGAACTAACCTGGTCTAGACAGTAAACATTAGCTACGTTGCACATATCAACATTAAGACTATATGGACGTGAATATATGTAAAGTAATGCACACTATACTACAATTCATGTAATGAGGCAGTTGCTGATCTTGTTACAGACATAACTTTTGGCTCCAGCTGACTCCTTCAGGGCTGCTACGCTAAATCACAGACACAAGATGGCATATGCCAAACCACAGACATAGATGACATGTCAAAATAAAACAATATAGTGAGCTCTAAATTCTATAAACTTGGTACAAAAAATCCAAAGTGACCCAATTTTGCAGCTAAGACACCCAATTGCTTTCCTTGACTGGACTGCAGCTTGAATGAATAAAATGACCTTGTGTTCTGTCTGAACTAACCTAACCCAGTGACGATAGTACCTTGGAACCGTTTATTTAGGTTTGTTTAAATATACATGGCTCACAGCACACGTGTACGTGTTTAAACGATTCATGACTTACTTTGGAAACATGAAGTGCGTTTTTTGACTTGAGGAAAGATCTTCCTGCAGAGCAGCACACAGCCAGCCGGAGCGCCGCCATTTTCGGCTTCTCGGCTCTGCGCATGCGCACTGCTAATGTTAGCCAGCCGCAGATATGATGGACATCAACAGATCCGAGCGGGAGTCAGAGAGCTCTGCTTTATGGACGCTGTCGTACTTTAATTTTACACCGAGAAATGATGTCTGTAGGGTTGTTGAAAAATAGAGGTTATTAAGCTGCAGCTCTTATAGGAGAATTCCACCGAATTTTACATTCTTTGCATAGGTATTCCATGAACAACGTTATTTCCATGAGTAGCATGGATCCTTCTGTACTAAATAATTTTAGACCAATTTCAAACCTAGCTTTTCTAAGTAAAGTCTTAGAAAAAGTTGTTTACAAACAGCTAAATGCATATCTAATATCAAACAATTTATATGAGAAGTTTCAGTCAGGTTTTCGTTCTAACCATAGTGCAGAGACAGCATTGATTGGTGTTATGAATGACCTCAGGCTCAGCGCCGATGCACAAAATCCTTCTATTTTGGTTTTATTAGATCTTAGTGCATCTTTTGATACCGTTGACCACAAGATTTTAATCCAGCATCTTCAATGACTTCAAAAACTCAGGCACAGTTTTAGAATCATAGAATCATATCATTCATCAAAAAGATTTGCCATTTCTTGTGGAGTCCCTCAAGGTTTAGTCTTAAGGCCTTTGCTTTTCTCTTTGTACATGCTACTTCTAGGTGATGTCATTAGGAAGCATAGTATAAATTTTCATAGCTGTGCTGATGACACCCAGCTATACATTTCTATTCCTTCTGAAGATCAGGACTCTGTAGACAGACTAACCAGCTGTGTGTCAGATATTTCTCAGTGGATGTCGCAAATATTTCTACAATTAAATCATGAAAAAACTGAAATATTGATTGTTGGTACAGAAACTCAGAGAAAAGTGATTTATGAGAAACTTGGTTCTTTAGCTTCATATACCAAACCTGAAGTACAAAACCTGGGTGTGATCTTAGACTCTGAGCTCTGTTTTGTCCTGCATGTAAACACAGTCACTAAAGTAGCTTTTTATCACTTGAGAAATATCGCTAAAGTTTGGCCTTTTCTCTCTCAGAGCGACGCAGAGAAACTTGTTCATGCATTTGTTACAAGCAGACTTGACTACTGTAATGCTCTTCTTACTGGACTTCCTAAGAAAACTACACATCCCTTACAGCTCGTACAAAATGCAGCAGCATCCTAACAAAAACAAAAAAGAGAGATCATATCATTCCTGTTTTAAAAGAACTGCACTGGCTACCTGTATTGTTCAGGACAGATTTTAAAGTTCTGCTTCTAGTTTTTAAAGCTCAAAATGACCTTAAAGCACCTGCTTACATCACAGAGTGTCTGTCTGTTTATGTTCTGGTACGTAATCTAAGATCTGCAGACAGTAGCTTTCTACAAATACCTTGTGTAAAATACAGAAAACATGGAGAGGCCTCTTTCAGTTATTGTGCTTCTAAACTGTGGAACTCAATTCCACCTTTTATTAGACACTCAAGCTCAGTGCTCACTTTTAAGAACCATCTAAAAACGTATCTCTTTAACTGAGCATTTAATTAAAACTCTATGTCTCATGGTATTTATCTTAAAATTTGATCTTTTTAATTTTCTTATGATTCTAAATAAATACTAATGATTTCTTGTATAACTATGTTTTATCACCTGAATGTAAAGCACTTTGAGTTGTCACCAGCATGAAAAGTGCTATATAAATAAAAAATATTATTATTATTATTATTATTGTAATTCTGAATAATAGTGGTTTATGGTAGAGTACTTCGGTCCCTCTTCTGCCTCAAGTTTTTTATGTACTATTTAGCCTTACAATGCCCTGCCTCTCCACCATGAATAGATAAAAAAATGAACAGAAAAAAAAACATACACACACTGTCAATGCTGTTTATCCTTCTGGGTCGCGAAGAGTGCTGGAGCCAATCCCAGCAGTCATCGGACGGAAACAGGAGGGGAAAAAACACATACTCCAAAATCTCGAAACTAGTGTAAAATGATGTCTCAGGCATCTGGCAGTATCCGTAATCATTTCATGTGCTAACTTGCTTTTTCTTAACTCTTCAGACGTCTGGTTCCTATCACCACCGTTCTGAACGACTCTGACTCATTAAGTTTCTTTAGAATGGAGCATTCCCATCAAACCAATTTAAATGACTATGTTTACATTTTAACAATTTATTTATGCAGAAATTATGAAAAATCAATAGAATTCCCCTTTAAGAGTCCTTTAAAGGGACACTCCGGCCAAAATGAAAAATCTACATCGCTACAGCTGTTGTAAACATGCTTACTCGCATCCTACAGGGGTGCCGCATAAGTCTCCAACTCAGGAAAAACGTCTTCTGATGATCTTGAAGATGGAAGGAACCTTTTTAAAACTACAAGTGGGGTGAATATTTGAAGGCAGACTGTATGAAATGCCATTATGTTTATGTATGTTGTCAATGTTTGTCAGTGGAGTACCCTAGTTATACAAGCTGTGCAGTATTTAATGTACACAACAGATTTTTTTTGAGGGAAGTACCTTTTTATGGACTAACTCAAATTTATATATAGATTTGATTTAATCTCCGACCTATGAGGACAACAGAGCACCCTCTTGTGGTCATTTGTGTTAAGATCAGATGACAAATGTCATCCTTATTGTTGAATCTTTAAATCACAAAGTAACATTTATGACAATTCTTTATTCTTCCACTAACTTTCAACTTTTAACCTTCAAACTATCTAAGATACCTTAGTGTTGTTAATGCAGCTGTTTATGAAAGTCACATACAGATTTCACAGAGAGGTTACAGCGTTTGGGGTAATTCTTTTTTATTAAAAAAAAATCAGTTTGAAACAAAGACAACCATCTTGCTTTCAGCCTAAACACTGTAATATCTGCTGCCCCATATTGTTCAAACAACCTGCACAACCATATAATTTTCTGTACATCTCAAAACCAGTTGTGCAGGATTTTTCTACTGTTTTAATACGTGGAAGTCACTTCCTTAATGACACTGTAATTTTCAGTAAAACAAACAAAAGCTTAAGCACAGCAGCAACGAGAGTGAGACTGTCAGGTGGGGTTTTGTCACACAGGCCTTCAAACCAGCACAGCCTAATCAGAACAAACCGAACAAAAACAAAGGGAATCCGCACCAAGCCTGCATTAAAATACCCCAAAAGTCTCCGTGGATCTCTTCTTTGTGAGAGAGCAAATGAAATCATGAAGGACTGTAAATGTAGTTCAGTTTCAAAACACAAGCATGTAAACCACTCATCTGGAAGAACATGCCACCATTTCCTCCTGATACCATCTCTGCACACCCAGCCTGGAAACAGAAGTGCAAAACCTGATACCAGCGTGGAGAAACAGAACAGGTACGTGCCTAACATCCCTTGGCTTCCTTCCCAACATATATCGTCGCTGTTGTAACAAAACCTCCTACCTCCAAAATGGAAAAAGAAACATTTTTAATGTCTTAATGTCTTTTCAAGAAGATTAGAAGTCATTCTGGACCATTTCTAATGGAACCATATGTAATATGAAGGGCAGTTTTTAAATGGGGTTTTCGAGATAAGAGGTTTTGATATGACAGCGAGAAAATACATTTAAAATAGAGGTATGATCCTTCCTTCTGAGCAAAGGCCGCAACAAAGTGTGACCAAGTGTCATTATGCCAGCTGATTACAGCTTTCCAAACTCCCTGCATATACTGTACATTAATGTATTCTTTTATATTATTCCAACAGGCCACTCCAAATCTACTTCACAGTTCACGCCACAAGTCCAAGCCTATTAGGGCCCTCGCTCTGCCCTGTAGTAGCACTGAGCAGTTGGAGGACAAGGCCAGAGTGATTCCTTGTTGGCTACATGGGGCAGCACAGACTGGGAAATGCACAGGGTGGGAAGGGATGCAAAAAGAGGGGCTGCCTCATTAGTTGGCTTTGGCGCGTAGCTGCGCTCTCTTGCCCGTCACGGCCTGGAAGCCGGTCTTGATGCTGGCGACAGAGCAGCGCGAGTGGCATGTCTCGCACTGCAGGAAGTAGAGTCGGGTGTCCTTCTGCAGGATGGTGTCTGGCGAGCGGCACGTGTGACACGTCACATATTCCTCTGTGAAACACAAACAGTGAATTAGTGAAAGCAGGGCATACAGGAGCACTGGCATCAAAAACGTGATGTACACATATTGGGTCATTATCACACACTTAACTTAGTACACCGTGAAGTTGTAGCTTATCTTTTTCCTGCAGCAATAGTCCTCCTTTAGCCCTTTATTAGTGGTCAGTTTCTGACATGACCACTGTTTTTGGCTGGCTGACTATTCTATACCTAGCAATGACATCAAGTTGTTAAAACACTCCAGCAGTGCTGCTGTGCCTAATACACTTAGAGCAGCACAACACACAATAACATACCACTAGCAAGGTGGTGTTGCTGTTGTGCTGAAAAATGGTCCACTACTCAAATAACATCTGGTCAACAGTAGCCCTTGGTAGTCCCTTTTTATTGAAGGGCAGTGTAGACAGTGACTGATTGTGCATTGTTTCAAGGATCAGGCCCACTTAACAATATTGATTACTTACTGATATATCTTCTCAAGACGTTCTCTATTTGTTTTTGCTGGAATCGTCCTTTAATCACCAGCTGGTTATTTCCATCTATGGAGCCACTACAGAAGGTAAGACATCACATATTATTAGAAATAGCATACAAAAACATAAAACATACCCTGACATATTGTACAACTTCAGTGTTTACCTTGTTCCCAATTCAGCCAATAAAAAAGCCAAGAGATGTTTTGGCTGACGATGCAAGCTGCAGAAAAGTGCACACAAAAACATCACTGACATGATTATACATAAATTTTTTTTTTTTAGATCTATCAGTTGGAAAATGACTGCCAGGTTAGACATGTTCAGCGAGACACAGCTTGTGCACTCACAGTTTGCAGATGTCAGTGAAGTTCACGAAGGATGTTTTTTTTGTTCCTACTCGGACAACCTGAGGAGGCTTCATGACAAACTTCCTCTTCTCTCCTGCCACCATGTCGGGATTCTTCTCCCTCATGATGTTAAACACGCGACTCAGCAGCTGTTAAGACACATCAGAGGTACACTCAGCCACGGCTCAAATTAAATGAAAAATCTTTTTAAGAAAAAGTATATTTTAGAGTGTTTAAAGGGGAATTCCTTCAGTTTTCCAAAATTTGGGTATAATTCATTCGTTAAGTCATGAACAACTTCATTTAGAGTGGTTTGATGTGAAATGGTTCAATGTGGAGACATGGACTCACACACAGTGCTGATTATAGGAACCAGGGGTTTTAATGTCTACCATGCAAATATAGCCATTTTATTCACCATCCTTAATTACCAATGAACCTATACATTTTGTATGTTTTCATATGTAACGTTGATGATGGTAAATCTCCAAAAAAGAGGGGAAACTGAGAAAAATGGGACAGAAGACAGTAATTCAGAGATCATTTTTATTTTGGCAAAAATAAATGATTAAAGCAAATTATTACAGTAAACAACTATTAACGCAATTTAGTTTTTTAGTAACATCACCCTCAACAGAATGATTTCCCAGACTATATGAACACCTGCTTTTGTAATTATAGTTCACACAATCCTTAACTAGACTATCTGTGACAGGTTAGTGGATTTGTTAAAGTGCTCAACTCGCAGGTAGTACAATTAATATTTACAAAAGTGTAAAATGCATGTTTGAGCATTTATTGTGGGCAAAAAACAGCAGAGGCCAAAAATTTTAGTTTGAATTAACAATGCACCGCACCAGTATCACACAGGTGTAGGAGAAAGAGTATGTACCTCATCATATGTGTAGTCCCTCTCTGATCCTGCCCAAGCTGGGCCTGTCTGAGAGCTGAACGTGATGCCATCCATATTTTTACCGTCATCATCGTCCATGGCTGCAAATAAAAAAAATTTTACAAAAATATTTTAAATGAGAATGCAGAGCACATAGCACTTTCTGTGAAACTCATGCTGTTCAGAGAAGCAACACTAATAACCAATGAAACATCCTAATAGATTACTTTAGTATGCAAAACTGCATGTGAAAAAAAGAGAGATGTTCAGCTGCTGTTTCAACGGCATCAACTTTGGAATACTACAGTTATTATAGATTGTAAAAAAAAAAAAAAAAAAATATATATATATATATATACATATATACAGCAAAACGTTTGCCTACCATCATCTTTCTCAACAGCATCACCTTCATCCGCAAATTCCACTTTCTTCACCTTCACATCCTCATCTTCGAACAACTCAAGCTGCTCACCCTCTATCTTCAGCTCCTAGACACCATCGCAATAGACAGATAAACTACTTCTGTAAAATTAAGAATGTTAGTTCAAACATAATGGCACAAACAACAGAAAGACAAACTGCTTCTGCTGTACAATTAACTGCTCCTAATTACTATACATACAGCCAATGTCTGGAACTTAAGTTAGCCTGAAGGGTAACAGTAGTTATGCAGGGGTAGTTTTATTAAATAGTGGCTGAATGATGAAACTGAAGAGCAACTCTGGCTTTGTCATCTTGGATTCAAATGAGAAATGACAAACTTCAAACTTTGACATACACCAGATTGTTACCAACCTTCATGCCCTCTTCGATATCATCGTTGAACTTTTTCTTAGGCTTCTTTTTCTTTTTCTTCTGGTTTAAGAAGTTTAAATCATCCAAGTCGTCTGTTAGCTCTGGGAGGGTGTAAAACAAACACTCATATCAAGATTCTATTCATTACCTATTACACAAAAAGACATGCACTACATCTTTTTTAGCCAAACTTTAACCCTGATTTGTCCCTACCGACAAATGCTCACAATTGGAGGACAATGTCCAGGTCAGGAGCTCACCTGGAAGTGACTAACAGCATGGATAATCTGGTAGTGTGAGTGAGAAGCAAGCCAATCTTTTACCTTCCAATCTAACTTCGAAGTGATCAGAGGCTTTCTGACATTTTAAAGCATATTTTTATGGCTGAAAATGTTCAAAAGATCTGTAGTGTAAGATGGCCTGTGATGTAACTGAAGAAGTGATTAAACTGGAACAATTTTTCACATTTTCTGCATAATTTTCTGTTTTGATGTGAAATGGATTAATTTTATAGATATTTACAGACTCAGATTTCTTTACAGTGGTAGTGACAGGAAGCTGGTGTCAATGTCTACAACACAAATATAGCCGTTTTATTTACTATCCAAATTGACCAGTGAACCTACACGTCCTCTGAGTTTTTATGTATAATGTTGATAATGGTAAAACAATCGTAAATATGAAAAATGCATTTTCTTTAGGTACTATTTTGCCTTATAACACCCTGCACGTACCTCTCGCCATAAACAGATAAAAAAAATGGCATCTCAAAACTAATGTAAAACAAACACTCAGGCATCATGTAAATTATTCGTAACCATTTCATGTACTGGCTTTTGTGATGTAGCTTTAAGCAGCATTAACCTCTTTGGACGTCCGGTTCCAATCACTACTACTATAAACCTGATTCAGTAAGTTTCTCTAGAATAGAGCATTTCACATCAAATCACTCCAAACAACTCTGTTCACATCTTAATTTTAATACGCAAAAATGGAAAAAAAAAAAAACAAAACAAAGAAAAAAAAAATTCTACAGAATTTCCCCTTTAAAGTAACAGCCAATAAGAGAGCTAAGAGAGAGAAAAAAGGCAAAGGGACATGTGTGCGCAGCAATGGAGGAGCTGCTTGTTGAATACTGGAAAACGAAATGCCTCTATAACATTATAATAACCAGAACTTTAAGGTATTCATTTTACAATTTCATCTACCACTTCAGCTTGCCAGTTCATAGTAAAATGCTTCTGTACTTCTTGCTGCAGAACAGAATATTCACTTTTCCCAACCCTATACTCATACAATGTTTGTGCTTTCGCTACACTTCTACATGCACTGAAGGAGAAACAAGCCTGGTCCAGTTTCAGCTCTGTTTGCATCCCATGACAACAGAGACATTTTGGATTTTGAGTGATTATTACTAGCTGAAACACAATAATCTGTGCCTAACTGTCTATTGCACACACTTTAACAAAAAAAGCCAAGAAATTGTAAAAGACAGGCATTAAGTGTGAGAAGCGCTTTGTTCTCATAATCTGTGTAGTGTACACCTAGCTTAGGAAAAGGCTTTAGAAGATCCATATAAAATAAAAACACAAATATTAGTCTGTTCATAAAAAGTCTGATTTCAACTATAACATGCTAGACTCCATTTCTATTCTACTCCACTTAAGCCTACTTGAATATTGTGTACAGTGTATTTCTAATCGTGTACAAATAAGGAAAAAAAGCAATGAGTGTAAACACTTTAATTCTACCACCTTTTTTCTTCCCTTCATCCTCCTCAGGTTCCACCTCACGCTCCTCTCCTCCTTCAGGCTCTATTTCATGAGGTTCTGTCTGCTGGGTCTCTTCTCCAAGCCCATCTCCTTCCTCATCAACAATAAACGGCTTCATCTTCTTCTTCTTTTTCTTTTTTTTGGTCATAGTGGGGTCAAACAAAATCTGGAGATTGAGGGACATAAAACAAGGTTTTATTGTGAGGGAGATAAGTAATATTACGTTAGTACACGTCTCAGCCAAAATACATTTCTAGAAACAGTCTGGCATTGTTTCTATACTGTGTATTCAGTGACTGCAAATACTCTTTCTGCACCCTTTCAAGCTCTTTGGATGAACACAATGAAGCTGTGGCGCCACAGATTTCAAAGGTCAGTTTAAACACATTTGGCTAGAAATTAAAAATATTAGTGATGCATCGATATGGAAATTTTGGACCAATGCAGATATCTGATATTTTTCTTCATATATATATATATATATATATCTGTAGAAGCTGATGGTGGTGATGGTATATACACATATATAAAATGTAAACATTGGGAGTAAATCCATCTGGATTAACATGCAATACAACATGTAATATAGAGTTATTTGTAAAGGGTGAAATGACCAGCAAATCAATAAATTACAGACATTTCAGCACAGGAAGCCAGGATTGTCTCAACACGGTGCTCTTTCCAAGAAAAAACATATGGGTCATCAAATCTTGGTTTGAAATATGTTTCGAAATATGTCCAACATTTCTCTGCCCATACTGAATATCATGCATCCCTAAAAAATTCCCTACTTTACAGAGAACCCTGACTGTTTAGACTTGCATACCTTAAAATAGTGTACATGTCCAATACTATTAAAATATAATTTATAAACCAAATGGAAATGGTTTTGTTTATTATTTAAAAAAATTACAAATAGGCACAATTTCTCTACAGCTGGGTTACCACTGTTGCACTGTGATGATATCATATGGTTGCACTGAACTCAGTCCTACTGAAAATAAAGCAATCAAATAAAGCTCTAGCTAAACTTGGAAAGGCTGAGTGATATATCTGAGTTACATGAGATATTTAGCTTGTTGTTCCTCATTCAAAAGTGAGGGGTCTGAGCAACAACAAAGCAGTCCAGGTGTTGTCACCAAAAAAAAATAGAAAGCAATTAACTACCAAAAATGTACACGGCTCTAATTGTGAAAGAAAGAATGGACTTGGGCAAGAAGCAGACACAGCTTTACTAATAAATCTACTCAAGTCTAAGTACAATCACTTGAGAATTATCAGCAAGCAAACTACAAGTCCATGAGGATGTTGCTTCTGTACATGTAATTGAGCAAACACAACCAGTTAATTATCATCTCTGCATACTGTATATTTTATTTAGCTGTCTCAGCACAGAAGAGGACCACAGAAATGGGAGTTAATTGCTGACTTAAAGAGGAACTCCAAAAATTCTGCTTAATTAAATGGGTAGGATGTAAACAAATTCATGATGTTATATTGATTATATTGATTGATGTTAAATGCTCCGTTCTAGAGAAAGTTGTAAGGTCAGATTTGTTGTTCACAGTGGTGGTGATAGGAACCAGCCATCCGCCTCTACAAGCTCCCTAATAGAAAGTTATTATATGAAAAGTTAGATATGTGCTGCTTGATATCTAATCCATTTATTTTAATCCTTTCATGGCAGAGGGGTACATGCAAGGTGTTGTGAGGCAAAATAGAAAACTTATTTTCAGATTTAAAACTATTTTACCAACGTCAACATTACACATAAAAACACGCGTAGGTTCACTGGTGGCTTTGGATAGTAAATAAAATGTCTAACGTTATATTTGTGCTGTGGACATGGCAACACCTGGTTCCCATCACCAACACTGTAAAGAATTCTGACTCAGTGAGTTTCTCTACAACGAACCACTTCACCTCAAACCACTCTGAATGGCTCTGTTTACATCTCAAGGACTGAATTATTTAAAAATTCTGAAAAAAACTGGTGGAGTCCCCCTTTTAAGTGAACAAATGCAGCCCTTTAGCCCTTCAGCAGAGGTGGTGGAGGAGCTTATTAGGCCAAAGGCCCGAAGTCAAACTGAAACAGGTTCACTAGACCTTCACTGCGCACTGGAGAAAGCGTGTCAACGACCTCGCCAACTCACCTCGTCTTCCGACATGGCTGCTGTATGAAAAAGGCTTTTTCTTCTGACTGTTTTACCCCGAACAAACAGCTAAATGTAGATAGACTCTTTCCCTGTAGGTATCTTGCGTCAGCAAATGAAGCCTTAGTGCGCATGCGCCCTCAAGACGAATAAGGATGGCGTCACGGCTGCGACAGCGTGCGAGTGTGTAGCGAGTGGGCGTGTCACAATTCTGTCATTGCAACCGTCACCCTGCACACTTCCCCTGGCCCACTTTCAGGTTTGTGTACTTTTGTGGTCTTTCGTGTGCTTCTAATAAGTGTCCCATTTCTCAAACACGCAAAAACACTCTATCAGTAAACACACCCTTTACCTAAAACTGTAATAGCAGTATTGAGCTAGTCGAGTGGTCTTTACCCGGATATCAAGACGATACAATGACTTGTTTTTCCTTCATTTCTTTCTTTAATTTTTTTATCCTTATTTCTCAGTTTCTCTCCTTTTAAGAACATTTTCTTTCCTTTCAAATATTATTTAGTACACACTTGAAAAGATGGTTCAAGGGTTCTTTAGTAAAGGGAATGGTTCTATTTAGAACCAGGGGTTATAGATAGAACCATTTCATGCTAAAACAGCTCTTTGCCTGGTGAAATGGTTCTTCAGATTGATGGAGAATGTGTTGTATATGGTTCTATATAGAACCTTTTTGAAAATGGTTCTACCCAGTACCAAAAAGAGTTATATTGTTCTAGCAGAAACCTTTTTGGTACTACATAGAACCATTTTCAAAAAGTCTCACATCTCATGCATTAGGCAATGCATTTCTAACCATTTTGTGTAATATCTTCCTGTGAAGTAACTTTTAGGGTCACTAAATACTTCAGACGTCCGGTTCACTTTCACCACCAGTGTGAACACTTCTGACTTGGTAATTGTCTCTAGAACATAGCATTTTATATCAAAGGAGTCTGAATGAAGATGTTTGCATCATAACTCATTAATAGTGCAAAATTGATTAAACATTTGTGGAAGTGCATGAAAACTGCTTCAAGACAGTCGAGCCACAGAATATAAGAATGTGGAAATGGCCATGTTGAAAAAATGAGTGTTGAAATCACAATAAGCCTGATACAGAGTGTAGCCTCTAAGCCACCTAGCTATAGCTTATTCCTCTCTTGTCTGAAGGAGGGCCAAACTATCAATTTTATCTTACATAATAAGTAAAGCAGGTTTGATACAAAAGGGTTAAATCCATTATCCTGCTAGGGAGTTCAAGTGCCTCCAGAGAGCTAATCTGGCACATGCAGGCCCCAAAGTTAGGACCCAGTGGTTGGGGCCTTAACATGGGTGCCCGTACCTGCCTCGGTCTCACAACAGATTAGGGTCTCACTGCGGGCAGTCCACTTTAAGCCCGAATATTAGGGATTTGTGTGGGCTGCCAGCAAAGAGCCCTAACACGGGGTCCAGCTCATGCCCCTGAGGCCCTGTTTCAATACTTTTTAACGTGCTCTTACCCACTTCGACTGGGCGATTGATCAGACGTGTGTTACACCTATGTTAAAAAGGGTGAGAGGGAAGGAAAGGACAGTGAGGAGTGAGAATTTTTGCACAACACACTTGCCCTCAGCAGGTTAGCTTCATCAGTTAGCCATGAAAACTTTGCAATGCACCTTTTTTGAGAAGTTTGAACATACGTACAAAGATTTGTGAATAGCTGCTTTGTCTGGCTGTAGACGTGGTGTAGAACCAAAGACAGTGCCTTTCTTTTTTGCTTTTGTTAGCAATCCTTTTGCATGCTACTTAGCCAGCTAGCAAAGTAAAGTGATGAAATTATATCAGCAGTTTTGGATGAGAAGGAGCAGTTTGTAACCTAAAGCCCAGGAAATCAAATTTAAAGGTTTGGAAATGTTGAACATTTTAAAGTAGTAAAGTACTGCTGTGGCTTACAAACAACCTTGTCTGTAATTTCTTTTGGGTTTGGACACGGAAATGTGTCAGTTTGAGTTCACAGTTTGAGCTCAAACAAACAAACATTACTCTCTGCTGTCCTCTAAAGGTGTTGTGGCACCACTCTGAAGATAGAATTTTAGTTTTTGTAAGAACTATACTTAATCTGTATTTCATCACAACAGATTAAAATGCACTAAATTCACATCTTCCTTGTATCGAAAACATGAAATATACTATATGGCCAAAAGTATGTGGACATGCCTCCTAATTACTGAGTTTGTGTGTTTGAACCACACTCATTGCTAACAGGTGTATAAAATAAAGCATATCACCATGCACACTCCACAGACACTGGCAGAAGAATGGGTCATACTGAAGAGCTCAGTGACTTTAATGTGGCAGTCACAGGATGCCACCCTTGCTATTTTCTTGAAATTTCTGCCCTGCTAGATCTGCATCAGTCAACTGTAAGCGCTGTATACAACAGCTCAGTCTCAAAGGAGTAGACACTTAGTGGAGCCACCAAATGCTGAAGCATGTAAAATTCGTCTATCCTTTGTTGCATCACTCACTACAGAGGTCCAAACTGCCTCTAGAAGCAACAACATCATAAGAATTGTGCATCACGACTGTCATAAAATGGTAGATTCAAGACTTATGGTTATGATACAGCTTGTAATTACAATGATACCAAGTAATAGCATTATGCTAAAAAAATTCAGCCAAGTATTAGCGCATTGCCATTCCTACAGGACTTATTTTCTGGGGAAGAGGGCAGTGAAAGTTGAAAAGCAAACATTTCTATATACACCAGGAGACAACAACACTTAGTGATTCTCTTTATTGCAGAAAATCATAAACCCATACGGCCATTCTCGGGATGTAAGCATTTATCGGAACCACATCAGACTACATACAATCTTGACAGAATGAGAAAATGCAGAAATGATACAACTGCAGTATCTACAAATAGGAGCAGGAAAAACGTAGATGTGTCGTGCTTTAACTCACTCTTAAAAATCAGTGAATCTCACCATATGTCAGCTGTCAGGCATTACTTGTATTAGTCGTGTTAAGACATGCCTCTCGAGTTGCATAAGCATGCCAATAAGTAAGGCACATAGCAGGGCACACACATCTTTATATGTTTAAAGTGCAAAACCAACAGTTGGTGGTTTGGCTGTGGGGTCTGTTTAAAGCACAACTTTTCACCGACCTGCTGCGGTTCCATAGCGCAACCAACAACACCAGAACAAAGAATAAAAAAAAAAACAAAAAAAACCCAGAAAAGTTTAATGATCTTACGATTAAAAAGTCTCATCTGGATAATCTCCAACATACAAATGTACACACCTTGGGTTACATCCCAGTTTCTATATAAAAGATACAGCATGTCTGTAAACGTCCACACTCTTAAAGATAAAGTTTCCAAAAAGGGTTCGTCTGAGCGGTTTTAAAAGCATTTTTAAGAGCCGATTCCTCAGACACGGATTAAGCCTAATCTTGGAGTAAATGTGTCAATGGAGAACTGCCACTGGAAATTCTTTTTAGGCTTAATCTAGGTCTGGGAAACTGGCACTCAAAGAACCATCTATTAATGCTTCTTCAACCTTCAACAAACCATAGTGTGGCAAAGAATCCCCTTTGGCCCCTTCATTTTTGAGAGTGTAGCGATCTCCAGGTGGAAAAAAAGTTTAGCTTATACCTTAATCTTTACAAGCCTCGACTTCTTTATTAATGGATATTAATAAGTGGGAGAAATTTCTAAATTGGTTTGAAATTGGCCTGAAAGGACACACAGTGCACTCGACAAAGTATGATTTACTAAGCCAAATGAGAGTGGCATTTATACTTTCTTTAGTTTTGGGTAGCATGGAGGGGAAATATTTTGCCCTGAAATCTATATTTTTATCATCTGTCTCAATGTTACTAAACTATCATATATTCAAGACATTGTAAATAAATTATCAAAATGACCTGGATGTTTAAATAACATTCATGAAACAAAGCACTTTTGAGATCAAGGTTGAAGAAGGTTTACAGAACCCAAATCTATTCCCTGTGTCATATCAGTCAACAGAGATGCTTCAAAATGGACTTTCACAAACAGGATTAGGTAGAACAGAGCGTGTAAATGACGGGAAAATTAAGTTGTATATGAACAGGCATTTGCATGTCTACGAAACACATACGATATATGTCAGAATGAGTATGTCTGATTACTATAACCCTGGCACTTTCCATGTCAGGCTATGGGAATAAGATGGACTTCACTACGATAAACAAACAGAGGTAGATGTTTTATGAGGCTTACTCACTCAAAGCTCCTCATGAATCGCTTTAAATTGGTTCAATATGATTAACCTTCAATTTCAATGGGAAAATTAGTAAAATTAGGAAAAGAATGTCAATCATAGACAAACACTGCTGGATCAATTTCCACATAAAACTTTATCTGATTGTTTCCTATTGTTTTGTCTTTCGTAGCCTGTTTTACATCCCCCTTTACGCTGGTAACTCCTCTGTTCCTGGACTTGTTTTAGCCAGTAATAAGAGCTACAGATTCCAAGACAATTGGTTTCACAACGCTAACCCTCTGAAGGTGTTCAGGTCCACTCTGAACATCAGTCAACCATAATGAGTGATAAGACAGTCCGACAGTTTGGGCAGGATTCACAACGCCCAAGCCTTCAGCTCTTCCATCTCATCCTCATCCTCTTCCTCTCTCTTCTTGGCTGGAAAAAAAAAATAGAAGGTTTAAGAGACCTATGGTTGGAACTGGGGTTCACACATATAAACATAGATATGCATATATAATGTAAATATATAATGTATATGTTATGATGTTAATGCATTTCCTAGTTTGACCCTTCAAAGCATTCATAGTCCCATACTGAAGCCCAGCTGCCCGTGCACTGAAAGTTGCTGATTACCTTTTGCAGCTGCAGCCCTCTCATTCAAATACAGCTTTTAAATGGAGAGTCTAATCAATGGCTCTATTGTAAAAAGTTATTTCTAACCACTTTAATGTCATGAATTTGTTTATCACTGAAGTACACTGAGCCTGAAGTATCATTTATGAAAACACAGCTCTGATGCCAGCAATATCAGTATAAGAATCAAACTAACAAAAGCAATAGTAAAGTGGAAACCTACAATTGACCTTGAAACAAAACATAACATAATAGTATGCAGACAACTGGGCTACAGTC